AAGTTTCGAAGGCCAAGAAAGGAAAGAAAAGCCCTAATTTAAGGGTAGACTCGGCGAGTCCAAGGAGGGACTCGGCGAGTCCGAGCGGGATCCGGGTCGAGGAGTAAGCGACCGACTCGGCGAGTCTGGTCTGAACGAGGAAAACCCTAATCCTGGGAGTTGTATCCTATTTAAAGGGTGTTATGTCCCTCCCTCAGCCCCCATATCACCCTAGAGAGCCAGTGGACCCTTGACTTCGTGAGAGCTTCCATCATTTTGAGTGTAAAAGCTTGGAGGAAGGAACTTTGGGGAAAGGAACTTGCAGGGAAAGTAGGTTGCTTCAAGGAGGAGGTGTAGATCCGAGATCTACTTCAGGGGTGTTCATCTTGGAGGTAACAAGCTACTATCTCCCCTCATTTGCACCTAGATCTTTGTGTGTGTTTTGGGCATTCTTGGCTTAAGAGTAACCTTTGAGCTAGAGGTTCAGATCTGAGGTTGCTACCTCAGATCCATGCTTATTTTGGTCTAGAATTTCGTAAAGTATTAGCCCTTGAGTGGATCATGGAGCCTTTTTGCCTTAAGCCCTAGTTTATAGCATATTTTGCCTATATCTCCTTCTCTACACGTAAAGTTTGCAACTTTACGTGGGGAAGAGGCTTAGAAAGGGTGGATCTACAGTTTGGAGTTCATGGATGACTCAAATGTCCTCTGCATGTAAGGAGATCTGAAGGGACTCGGCGAGTCCTTTGAGTGGACTCGGCGAGTAGCATGAAGTTGTGGAGAAACTCGACGAGTGGGATGAACAACTCGTCGAGTCGTATGAAGATTGCCTTGTACTCGGCGAGTCTGTTCTTGGACTCGGCGAGTCAGGTCGCGAACCCCAAACCCTTCGAGTTGAGACTCGAATCAGTGAGTCGGGTGGAGACTCAGTGAGTTGGGCAGGTCTGGACTCAAAAATCGGTAAACTCGGCGAGTCATGGACTGACTCGGCGAGTCGAGTCACGAATGGAAGGAATCTGAACATTATGAACTCGGCGAGTCAGTAGGGTGACTCGACGAGTAGGGTTGACCTGGAAGGTCGACCTTGACCAGGACTTTGACTTGGACCAGGGTTGACTTGGTTGTCTTTCGGGGGACAGTTAGACTCAGTGTAGCATTGATATTGATAGTTCAAGGAGCAAGGAGGAGCAGGAGTTCCAGAAGTTGTCGGGCAGCAGCTAGTGAGATCATCTGCAAGTTCAGCCAGTGCAGGTGAGTTTCCTTTTGTGTGAATGGGTGTAAGGCCACAATGACGGCCCATGTAGTTATGAGTAGAAGACCTGGGGGTTAGCCCTAGGCATAGTATGCTAGTATTATTTTCAGGACGAGGTCCAGTAATAGCGGGCGGGTGCCCAAGGAATTGTTTATATGATAGTTTATACTTGTTGTCTGTGTGATACATGTATGTGCCTGGTAGGGAGGTGAGTGTGGGCGAGGTCCCGTATCTCACCAATAGCAGAGTGTGGATGGGGTTCCATATCTCATTAGTAGCAGAATAAGGGCGAGGCCCAAACTAGAACAAGAGTGAGAGTGGGCTAGGCCCGTACCTCACTACCATTAGGAGCGTGGACGGGGTCCCATGACTCATCAGTAGCAGGACATGGCGAGGCCCTGGATAGGCGAGGTCTTAGGACAAAACCAGTTGCATGTGTTAGTTATGTGTTGCGAAATGTTTATGTGTTATTATTTGTTGGCGGGCGAGGCCCTGTGACAGGTGAGGCCTAAGTAAAACAGATATGTATCCGAGCGGGGCTCGAAGCCAGGTGGGGCCTGGAGCGGCGGGGCCGTTGTAGCGGGCGAGGCCCGAGGTAAGGGGCGAGGCCCAAGATAGTGGGCGTGGCCCAGTATGTGCAGTATGTGGTTATGCATGGTATGTGGTAGGGTGGGGAACTCACTAAGCTTCGTGCTTACGGTTTTCAGTTTTGGTTTTAGGTACTTCCGGTAGCGGAGGGAAGAGCTCGGGGTGATCACATGGCACAAACCATAGATTAGACAGCCTAGGAATGTTTACTCTGATAATGAACATGTGTTTTGAAAACTTATACTCAGATTATGTTTTGGATTGATGACTTTACTTTAAGTAATGATTTATTAAAAGAAATTTTTGGTCTTAAATTTTGGGTCGTTACAAGTTGGTATCAGAGCCTTGGTTTGAGGGATTCGGACATGCTCTCGGGTGTGTCTGAACTCAAACTGAGGAATTGGTAAGGAAGTTTTCAAAATGGAAAGACAGTTTTGGTAAAAAGAGTTTTGAGAAAGAAAATGGTTTTAGAAAAGTAAAAAGAATTCAGAAAGAAAAGAACCCTGACAAGAGAAAAGAGGTGCGGTGCATGCAATCAACGAGCTCAAGTAAGTACCCCAAAATACCCATAAGAGTTTATGATTTGATTATGAGTTAATAGAACAGCATGCTAGATTAGGACTAAGGATCTAGGGAGGATGCCTTATGTGCCTATTATATGTGTTTTTGATCTGCATGATAGTGCTGAATAGTCAGTAGTAGGATAGCCTGATTAGGTTATGCCTGAGTTTATGAGTTGTATTGCATGCTAGTTAAGATTCTTGCTATGTGGATATGATTGCTTGAGTATGTTATGGTTAAGCTTTCCCTTGTCTAAATGCTGCTTGCTTTGTGCATTTTGGGATTCTAAGTGATGGGAGTTAGCCATTAGGTGGATACGTCACATCGCATGTGATCAGGGTTGAATAATCTCAGAGTGTGGGATTTGGTCCTATTGCGCAGCTCTTGTTTGAGTCCAATCGTTGTAGGAACGAGTCTTTTACTTGACGGATTATCTGAGCCTCGTCACATGTGATGGTATCCAGGTAATGGCTAACTGGCATTGCAAGGAGGCCTTCAGCAGCTGAGGACTGGTTTGAGTTGAGTCAAAGGTTTCCCTAGGGTAAGCCTAGGAT